GCTCGCACACCCTCGGATTTCAGACACGCTGCTTCAAGCAGCTCTGACCTCGGGCTGCGCATTAGAATCACCTGGGGAGCTTTCAGAACGCGCCCACCAGAAGTCCCGGCCTCATCAATTAAGTCAGAAGCTCTGGGGATGGGGTCCATGCGGCAGTGATGTTTTAAAAGCTTCCCAGGCGATTCCTGCCAGGCTAAGGTGACCAGACATCCCGATTTTGGCGGGACAGTCCCAATTTTTAACAATTTGTCCCAAGTCCCGCACCATTTAAAAAAAAAAAAAGTCCCGATTTTGCCGAAACTGGGTTGGCTCAGTGGTAGAGCGTCGGCCTGCGGACTGCGGGGTCCCAGGTTCCCGGGTTCAATTCCGGTCAAGGCCATGTACATTCATTGCCGGCACATCCCCGGTAGAGAGTGTGCAAGAGGCAGCTTGTCGATGTTTCTCTCTAATCGACGTTTCTATCTCTCTCCCTTCCTCTCTGTAAAAAAATCAACAAAATATATATTTAAAAAATTTTAAAAAGTCCCGACTTTTTAACAATTTGTCCCGCGTCCCGCGGCGTGTTAAAAGAGTCCCGATTTTTTGCCGTGGGACGCGGGACAAATCGTTACCAATCGGGACGCCTGGTCACCTTGTGCCAGGCCAGTTGTGGCTCAGTGTCAGCCCAGGGAGCAGGAGGTCACAGTTCCACTCCGGGTCAGGGTACACGCAGGCTGTGGGCTCCATCCCCAGTGTGGGGCGTGCAGGAGGCAGCGGATCCATGATTCTCTCTCCCTCTCCCTTCCTCTCTGAAATCAATAAAAAAAATATATGTTCAAAGCTTCCCAGGTGGTTCCAACGCAGCCTGGGCCGAGAACCAGCCCCTAAGACAGCTGGCATTGGCTGGTCAGAGAGCTGCAGAGCACAGGATAAAAGGTGCTCTCCAGGCAGTGCCACTTCACGTCTTCCAGGAGGCTTCCGCCTCGTCCCCTTGCCTGGCTCTCACAGTAGCCCTGGAAGGGCACACACAGTCACACCCACGTGAGAGGCGGAGAAACTGAGGCCTCAGGCTGGCTTGCTCGGCGTCACAGGAACAGTCACAGAGCTGACGGCAGAGTTACACCTCTCCAGTCAGGCTGCTCTCTCCTGTTCGGTTCTTAGAAGGTCTGTGCTCCCGTGTCTCTGCGGGCGTCTCTCCGCTGGGGTCAGAGCACCCTTCAGCCCAGGCTTTCCGAGTAGGTGTGGTCAGGTAAATTGTAGAGAAGTGCTGTCTCACTTTAAGCTGGGGGAAACTGAGGCACAGTGGTGGTGGACGGGGGAAATGGCAGCAAAGAGGAAACGAAGGCCCTGGCCAGGATGTTCTCAGTAGTGAGAGCATGGGCCTGAGGACCAAAGGGTCACGGGTTCGATCCCCGATCAAGGGCACGTACCTCAGTTGCAGGCTCCATCTCCGGGTGCAGGCAGGAGATGAGCAATCTCGCATGCGTCTCTCTCACATCAGTATTTCCCTCTCTATCCGTCACCCCCTCCTCCCTCCCCTCTATCTCTCTCTTTTAAAAAAAAAAAAAAAGGAAAAACTAAGAGTAAACTAGAGAAGGCTGCAGGGTCCCTGGCTCCCACCCAGTCCTCTCCTCATAAAGTTCATAGAATAGGTGTGATAGAGGTTAGACATGGTGGTTGCCATGGCAACCACATTCATATAAATACCCATCCACGTGAGATTTGCTTGGTGGCCAGTCACCTCCCTCCCACCCCACCCTCCACACCCCATAAGAGGGTCGCAGAAAAAGCAAACCACTTGCCCAGTGCAGGAGGCCTCCCTGGGAGCAGGCAGGCCATCCTCCCTGCTTCTGGGTGCCGGCAGAGAGTTGCTCTGAGGGAGCCAAAGTAGCAAGCCCCCCCCCATCTCTTCCTCCCCCATCTCTTCCTCCCCCCTCGCCTCCCCCTCCCCCATCTCTTCCTCCCCCCTCGCCTTCCCCTCTCCCCCCCACAGTGGTGGAGGACCCCTTGGGCCCTGCGGCTGTGTAATCTCGGCTCTCTATGTAATCTCCACTCTCACCCTCCACCTTCAGCGGGCAGATTCCCGTCAGTCCTGTCTGGCTGCCTCCCCCCAGGAGACAGTTAAATGCTCTTGAAAAATGGGCTCCTGTCTAGAACGTGGCTGCAGCTCCCTGAGCTCCGGCCAGAGCGTTGGGCTGCTCAGTCCAAAAAACAAAGGCCTGCTGAGCTGAACCACATCTCCGGAACCTCCTGCCGCTGGTGCAGCTCAAGCTGGATCAGAAGGTCCTGCCTCTCTCCAGTGGCAGGACCCCGGCTCCGGCCCCTCTTGCTGCCTCGGACTTCACCCCTCCCCTTCTCCTCTCCCTGCCCACCCCTGGCCAAGGCCCCGGCAGGCATGCCAGCCGCTTCCTGACACACGAGAAACACGCACCCTCACTCACTCCGGTGTCCACCCAGCCGGCTCCGGCCGCCTCTGAGGCCTCCACTCCTGGCATCTCCCAGGGCAAGCTCGGAGCGGCCTTTCCAACCCCAGCCTCCTGCTCCCGGGAGCTGCCCCTGGACCCTCCGCTCACCTCAAGCTTCCTGCCTGAGAAATGGGAGAACAGCCAGACCACTGCATGGAGGGACCAGGAAGAGGAAAAGCCCCTTCCTTCCACTCAGGAGCTCCATCCTCTCACCAGGGGACTCCCTTTCTGCCTAGAAAGCCCCTTCTCCTTCCTCTCCCGCCCACACTCCGCCACTCCGGCCGGCCTCGCCCACTGGCTAGAAGGCACACACTCCTGAGATTCCAGCTCCTCCGAGGAGCTTTGCAGAAGGTCTTGGAAGGGGAGAAGGGGGCGGGAGACTCACGTCTGGTTCTCCCCACCACAATCACATCTTTTCCCTGCAGACAAAAAAATCTCACATGATTCTTTATAGGCCATTGTGGCATCCTCTCCGCTAGAGGGCGCCTCTGAAGGTTTGTGTGTTTTTTTTTATTTGTAAGCTACGTACCCGGTACCTTTTCCAAGAGAGCCTGGGGCGAGTCTGGGAAGAACAGACCACACCTGTATCCTCCTCCATCCATCCCCACCGGCCCCACCAAGGCCAGGGCAAATACACCTTTCCTTTGTAATCCCATTCTCCCCCAGAAGCAAACGAGCAGCCATCCATCCGCCTTTTCTGCTCCAGTGGAATGTTCTGCGTGGAAACCTTGTGTAACTAACTGCTTTAGGTAAGATTTGCACCTGTAGGCCTGTGGTTTCCAACTGGCTGGACATGAAAGTGACCTAGGGAGCTTTCACAAATATATGGACCTCCCCCCCCAAACCAATTTCATCAGAACATCAGGAGGTGGGAGCCAGTCTATATTCTATATTGTTGTCAAGATCCCAGGAGATTCCAAATCAGAGCACGCAGCCTGGGGAGCAGTGCTGGGGCCTGGTTCCCCACCCACGAGTGCCTCCTTCTCCAGGGGCCCTTGGCCGTGGCCTCAGCTCACCCGGGTCCCTAGGTCATCTGGAGTTCAAGACTTGAGAACCCCACGGACTTCTCACTGCTTGCCTGGTCTCGCAAGTCGGGCGTTGACCTTGGGACCTGGTCCTCAAAAGCACGTTTTTTACCTTACACGCAGGGTCTGGTCATGGAACGCGAGCAATAGCATCATTGATGGTGCGCTCACAATGGGTTGGGTGGTGGAATGTACATCCAAAATCCCATCTAACTAGCCCAGATGTTAAGCGTCGCTTTTCCAAAGTCATACAGCTGTTAAGTGCGGCAGGACCGGGGTTTGAACCTGGGTCCACAGACCTCAGAGCCCGTCTCTCCATGACTCTGCCGTGGCTGGCCTACTCCCATGCTTAATCCCGGTGACCAACTCTCCCCGGTGCCCCCACCCCACAGGAGAGATCGACTTTCTCTTTCCACATTCCCTTCCTTACCAGTTTCCTGGAGCTCTTGAAACCAAGTACCACCAACTGGGTGGCCTAAAACCACCAAAATTCATTCTCTTACAGCTCTGGAGGCCGGAAGTCCAAAGTCAAGGTGTCAGCAGGATTGGTTCGGGCTCCGAGGGGCCATGTGTCTTTCTCATGGATTCTAGGGTTGCCAGCAACCCATGGTGCTCCTCAGCCTGGGGATGCTCACTCCGATCTCTGCCCCTGTCTTCACGTGGCCAGCCTCCCTGTGTGTCCGTGTTTCCCCATGGCCTTCTCCTAAGAACACGTCATTGGATGTAGGGCCTGCCCCAACCTAGTAGGACCTCATTTTAAGTGATTGCATCGTGGCAAAGAGCCTATTTTTATTTTATTTATTTATTTTTAAATATATTTTATTGATTTTGTACAGAGAGGAAGGGAGAGAAATAGAGAGTTAGAAACATCGATGAGAGAGAGTCATTGACCAGCTGCCTCTTGCACACCCGCACTGGGGATATGCCCGCAACCAAGGTACATGCCCTTGACCGGAATCGAACCCGGGACCTTTCAGTCCCCAAGCCGACGCTCTATCCATTGAGCCAAACCGGTTTCGGCTAAAGAGCCTATTTTTAAATAAGTCCCATTCTGAGGTTCCAGGCGGACATGGATTCCGGGGGGGAGGGAGGGGAGAGGTCACTGGTCAACTCCGTACACACACACACCCCCGACCCAGGAGACCCAAGGTTTGCTTCTGACCTCATTCAGGTGACGAGGGCCGGCCACCCGCTGGCAAACCTGGGTGCTGGTGGCCTGTGGCTCCCTGTCCCAGCTCCAGCTCCTGCTGCTTGCCCAGCTGCTAAGAGACAGCTCCCAGCGCCCGCTCCCCTCGGTGCTGGCCCAGACGTTGGGCCCGCCCCATGTTCTCTGACTACTGCGTGCGTGCGTACCCCAAAGTCGCACTGTCTCTACAGCTGCAAAGGGTCCCACATCCCTAACAGCCTGGGGCTGACCACACACCAGTGAGAAGTTCTCTGTGAAGCCCCCCACTTCCCCACTGCATCCCCCTCCACTGGTCTGAGGTTAAATGCTTTTTTTTTTTTTTTTTTGTCTTTGCTATCTCCGCAGGAAATGGGTATATTGAAGGTAAAGAACTAGAAAACTTCTTCCAAGAGCTGGAGAAGACAAGAAAAGTCTCTGGCATGGTAAGCCCAGTCCCCTTTCCCACTGTGTGGGATTTCTGTCATCTGACCATGGCTTTTTTTTTTTTTTTTTAACTTGTATTGATTTCAGAGAGGAGAGGGAGAGAGAGAAACATCAATGAGAGAAACATCATTGTTGGTTGCCTCCTGGTTCCCCACCCCGTTCCCCATTGGAGATCAAGACTGTAAACCCAGGCATGCGCCCTGACTGGTAATCGAACCATGACCTCCTGGTTCTCACAGGTGGATGCTCAACCACTGAGCCATGCCAGCTGGGCTGACCATGGCTTTAAGCACTGTCCCAAGCTATGCATCCCCTCAGCCAGCCTGACAGCTCTGATCTCAACCTTTAGAATTTTTATTTGTAGGGATTTTTTTTAAAAAATGGACTACTCTCTAAAAAAGAGTACCGTATCATCTCAGTATCACTGGAATGTCAGGGATTGAGGGATATTCATGAATGGACAGCAGATTGATGAATTCCTCAAAGCTGCAAAGCTCTGTATCTGTGTATCTGTATATAAAAAGTATCATTTCCTAGTGGAGAGTCCACAGCCTTTCTAAGATGCTCAGAGGGCTCCTGAGCTTTTATTCTGGACCAGTGGTTCTCAGCCTCAGCACTGCTGGCATTGGGGATGGATAACCCTTTGTGGTGGTGACTATCCTGTGTATTGTAAGATGGTTAGCGGCATCCCTGGCCGCTACACACCAGATGCCCGTAGCTCCTTTCCAAGTTGTGACCATCAAAACTGTCTCCGGACATTGTTACATGTCCCTGCAGTGGGATGGGGTTGGGGGGGGGGGTTAGAATTGTCCCCACTGGAGAACCACTTTCCTAAACCAACAAAGGCTGGCATCCTTGGCAAAGGCCCAGAGGAAAACGGAGGATTGCCCCAAACCAGCATCTGAATCAGTGGTACCGGCTGGCTCGTGTGCGGAGGTGTCAGACCACCCTGCTTAGCCTGCCGGAAGTGACTCCGGATCTTGTCCCAGCCCCTTCATGGCAGGGATGCTGTTCCCCATGCCAGCCGGGAACTGTGGAATTCACTGAAGCCTTTTGGAGGAGCGTCTGAAATATTAAAAAGGTGAGGTGATTAGAACCAGGCCTGGTGCTCAAATATATGGAGTCATGTGGAGCAGTTCTGATGATGAGTCACAAATCCGCCACTGGGTTCCTGGTTCAAAGCTCAGCAGAGCGCTCCCTTGAGGAGGAGGTCCAAGCGATGGAGGTGACTCATGGGTTTATCAACTGCTTCCCCATCACCCCTCATTACCAAGATAAGGAAGCCTGGACCAGAGAAAACACAGGCTCTGCAGTTAGTTGTGGGATTGTGGTGTGGTGCAGGGAGAGGAATGGGTATTATGAAGTGCTCCAAGTCTGACATCCTTCTCCTAGTCACGTGCCTTCCTCGGTTGGTATCAGAGGTGACTGTCAAGTCTGTCAACTACAATCTCAACTGATCTCATCCCAGACTGGTTTAAGCCCAGTTAAGTCCATAGAGCAGCTGTTATATAGTAGAAAGAATATTGGCCTTGCCAAAACCGATTTGGCTCAGTGGATAGAGCGTCGGCCTGCAGACTGAAAGGTCCCAGGTTCGATTCCAGTAAAGGGCATGTACCTTGGCTGCGGGCACATCCCCCATCGGGGGTGTGCAGGAGGCAGCTGATAGATGTTTCTCTCTCATCGATGTTTCTAACTATCTCTCTCCCTTCCTCTCTGTAAAAAATCAATAAAACATATTTTTAAAAAGAAGAAAAAAAAAAAGAATATTGGCCTTGGAAGTAGGATCAGTGAGTTCAAATTCTGTCTCTACTTACTGTGGACCCCCAGAGAGGTCACTTCACCTCAGCTTCCCTTTGTGGGTAGCAGGCACGGGCTCCTCACCTGGGACCAGGGGCACACTCAGCCTCCTTTGTCTCCCCACAGACTTCCAAGAGCGACAACTTGGGGGAGAAGATGAAGGCCTTCATGCAGAAGTACGACAAGAACTCGGATGGGAAAATCGAGATGGCAGAGGTGAGTCCCGCTGCCTGGCTCCGAGCTCTGCGGGAAGGGCCAGGTCACCCCGTCCCTCTCCCAGACACAAGCACCCATGAGGCCGTGACCTTCAAGCCCGCCCCCAGTCTGAGCACTGGGGCTGACCCTAGGGGCTTTCTTTGCGTCCAGGAAAGAAGCAACAAACGTAGACCTAAAACAGGGATGGAGACCTTAAATGCTCTCGGGGCCCATCAGGTGTTGTAAATGTGTGACGAGCCCAGCTAGACAGAAGGGACGGTGAAGATTGGGGGAAGTCTTTGTGCCCCACCTAAAGGCATCCAAAGGTGGCATTTTTTTTAAAAAGGCAACATTTTTTATAATATAGGGGGGGCGCAAAAGTAGGTTAAATTACCAGCCATCATTACTTAAAAGATAAATCATAAGTAAGGGTATAAAATAACAATAAGACAAATAACACAGTCATAAATCAATAAAAGAATAAACTGTCTTTGCATACTCACAACTGTAAACCTACTTTCGCCCACCTCTATCTATATGGCATGTATAATTTATGTATAATATACTTTATATATTATATATATTATATACACATATACATTTATATATGAATAGCTATATACATATTGTTAAAAGATAAATGGAGGCATATTAAAAAATTCAAGAGTGTTTTTAGCAAAGATCTATTGACACTGGGCAGCACCAAACAGGAAGTGGTTAGGGACATTCCACCCACAGGAGCTGAGGAGCTAAGGGAGAGACTTTGGTGTCTGGGGATGGTGGATCGCACAGTCTGTCTCGCCGTGGTGGCACAGGGCAGCCACAGGCAGTGTGCACATGCATGGCCATGCCATGCTCCAGTACACGTTCACCTGCAGACTTGACCATGAACCTCCGTTTCCTGACTTCTGGCTTAGACTAGGATGAGGAAGGCCCTGGGCGGGGTTGACTCCAAGCAGAGGCTGCCAGCAGAGGCGGCCAGCATCCAGCTCTGCTTCTCCGCAGTTCTCTTGGTTCTGTTCTCTGCCCCGAAAACAGCTCCATCCTCGGGCTGGCAGCAAGCTGGGGGCAGCAGTTCCGGGCATCACGTCCACATCCAGAGGCAGAGAGGGCTCCTCTCTCGTGGTCCCTCCTAAGAGCAGGGAAACCTTCCCCAGGTGTACATACCCTCAGCAGACCTCCCTTCCCGTGTCATGGGCCAGGGCCAGGTCACATGCCTACCCATCAGCCAATCACTGGTGAGGAGATTAGCACATTTAACGGGAAGGATTCAGGATTTGCCTGTGGCCCAGGATGCTGGGAGCAGAAGGCCGGGCAGGGAAGGCCCCATGGGTGGACAGCCAACAGGGCTCGCTGCACAAGAGTATTTGCATTTTTTTTTAAAAAGGCAGTTGGGGTATCATTTACATACAACGAACTGCATGGATGGAATCGATTTGAAGTGTATAATTCCATGAGTTCACACAGTTGTAGGCAGCCATGCAGTCACCACCAAATCTAGATTCAGCATCTCTCTCACCCCCAAAGGTCCCTTCGGCTGGTGCAGGCCATCAGATCAGCGTGCATGTCTTAGGAAGTTACGTTTATGGAACCATCTATTCAGGACGCTCTAGAGTCTGGGTCCCGGGCGCCACTTCCTGTCCCTCCGGCTGCTCCCACCGCTGGGGTGACAGCGCCACACAGAACAGCCTCCTGCCCCTTCGAAGGGCTGCTCCCAGGAGGGAAGCCACATGCGGCTCCCACGCTGCCTTGCCACTGGCCACTCCCCATCTCTCCTGCGGGAGGTCTGCTCCCCGGCGGGGCCCTCTGTAACGTCCCTGTCGTCTCTGTCGCCCTCTGGTCCACAGCTGGCGCAGATCCTGCCCACCGAGGAGAACTTCCTGCTGTGCTTCCGGCAGCACGTGGGCTCCAGCGCCGAGTTTATGGAGGTGAGGCTGCGGCGCGGCCCTCCCGGGGCTCAGAGCCAGGCCCACCAGCATGCCTGGGAGCGGTCCCACCCCTTCAGCTCCTCAGAGTGGTCCGCGGGCCCGCACTGTCAGCATCCCCGCCATCATGGCGCGCTTGTGAGAAGCCCCGAGTCAGAGCCCACAGGTTCACAAGAGCCCCATCTGGTGTGTGTCCATTAAAGTGTGAGGAATTAGGGGAGAAGCAAACCGAGGTCAAATACACCTGGGAAGTGCTGTGTAAACGCCATCTCCCCTCCGGGGATTTGCCACAGACATTGGCATGTTATGGGCCTCCAAATCCTGCAGAGGAGAGACCCGGTTCACTGGGTGTGGCTCCAGGGTCACCCACGCTGTCTCCTCGCTCAGTGCCATCCGTGTCCCTCAAGGTCAGGGCTCCACGGAGATGCTTGGGGAGGATAGGTGTGTGTGCCACCCTCAGGCTGGAAATGCCCAAGAGAATTCCAGTTCCCAGTATCTTTCATGTTTGCTCTTTGACTGGGGTCTGGGCTTCTTTGGCCCCTTTTAAATGGGCACTGCTGTCTGTACCACAGATATTCTTCCGGTCTGTGAACGAGGACACCCAAACTCAAGTGCCTTTCGAGTCACGTTCAACCAATAGGTTAAACCTGAAGTCGGCAAACCGCGGCTCGCGAGCCACCTACGGCTCTTTGGTCCCTTGAAGTGTGGCTCTTCCACAAAATAACCAAGGCCTGGGAGAGTCTATTTTGAAGAAATGGCGTTAGAAGAAGTTTAAAAAAAAAAAAAAAAAGTTGGGCTTTCAAAAGAAATGTCAATCTTCGTGCTGTTGGTGTTTGGCTCTGTTGACTAATGAGGTTGCCAACCACTGGGTTAAACCATGTGAAATTGCCCGTCTTTAACCATTTTTTTACTGATGAGAATTGGAATTCCATATGGTTCCACCAAACACGTTACTAATCCTGATGGCCAGCCAACCACCAGTTACTTCTCGCTCTTTTCCTGGGGCTCTGCACCCCGGCCACTCCATGCGGGTGCCCTGGAAGGGAGACGCAACCCACGCCCCACACACCCTGCCTGCCGTGAGGAACAATGACCGGCCTTCAGTTTGACTGAGTTGCCGTTCGTCCTGTTAAACTAAGGTGACCCGACATCCCGCTTTTGGCGGGACAGTCCCGATTTTTTTTACGTCGGGTCACCTTATGTTAAACCCATTTCCAGCCACCAGTCTCCCCCTCCCCGGAAGTCTCTGCCTAAAAGGACTGGGGAGCTAGCCCCAAACCCACATCACAGTGGTTTCACCTCATATGGGTAGAAAGTAGGTTAGAAAGAGCCTGCTCAGGGTCGGGGGATTGAGTTTTTTATGGGGCTTTAAAAGATTTGTCTCCAGACGGCAAAATTCCCTAAGTTGGTAATTGACATTCTGGATTCTGTCCCCAGTCCTTCTCTTGCCTGTCTGGGAAAGGAGGTAGAGGGCAGGGTGGGATGGGAGGGGGGGTGGTGTGTGTGGAGAGATGGGACGTGACGGGGGGGGGGGGGGAAGGGTAGGGGAGGGCAGGGGGAGACTGCATATACTTTAAACCTGTCAGGGTGCTGCGTTTGAAAAAGTCCATTTCTCTGTCTGTAGAAAAGGCAGTGTTATGCCTGACTGTTCCTTTGGCCTGGATTCCATCTCTGATGGGGAAGATGTGGATGATGGTAGCTTGCCGGGGGCAGAGATGCTTAAAGAGAAGCAATGGCCCTTCTTGCATTCTCTCTCTCTCTCTCTCTCTCTCTCTCTCTCTCTGAATTTGGTTTCTGTAGAGTTGACATCATTCCATATTCCTGTCTGCCTTTATCTTTTAAGCCCCAGCATAACTGCTGAGCCAACACCTCCCCCCACTAAGCTTCCTGGGACCCCACCATCCTCCAGCAGCACCCCCTCTTGGGGCTGCCCATTTGTTCCGCTTCTATGCGCTGGAAAGATGAAGTGGTCCCTGGGCAGCCAGAGCTGTCAGAAGGCGCCCATCCTGCTGCTCAGCACAACATTTTAATTTCTAATTTTAGCGACACCTCGGGTTTCTTTGAGATTTCACAAAGCCCAAGCTTCTTGAACTCTTTTCCTTCAACGGGAAGAAAATAATGGCACGTTGATGGATGAGCACAAAGTGCTGGAGGGCAGAGACGTGAGCACCTGAGGGTGGGGGCGGGGTGGCTCTGGAGAGAGAGAGAGAGAGAGAGAGAGAGAGAGAGAGAGAGAGAGAGAGAGACAGACAGACACACGGAGGGAGGAAGGAGGGCAAGGAGGGAGGAAGGAAGGAGGGAAGGAGGGACGGGAGGCCGGACCTGCTGGGATGTTCTCACTCTCAGAAGCAGGCAAATGCCTTGCTGGGCGCTGTGCCCTGCGGAGGTGGGCTCCCTCAGGTGACCCTCCCGGTAGGCATTCAGGGACTGCCTGCCTTTCCCAGGCAAGACTCCACCTAGATGAGCTCCGTCCTGATGCACTAAATCCATGCAGGTGGTTGGTGACGTCATGTTTGAAAACCCACATGTTTCTTCGTGCTTCCTCAAGGCTGGGCTTTCTGGGCGGGGGAAGGAATGGTGATGGCACTAGGCTTTTTTCCTCTCCCTCCTCCCCTCCCACCCCCCCGAGAATACCCACTCCCCTCATTAAATACCATCAACACACACTGTTATGGGGTCTTGCTCATGTCTAATAACTTTTCAAAAATCAGGACGAGGGTGGAGGAGAGACCTTTTTTAGGGAAAAAAAAAATGAAATGAAATGAAAATAAATTAAAACCAGAGCCAACTTTCTTGAGCCCCTGCTGCACTGTGAGAATTATACAACCTCGTTAGCTGGTATGGAGGACAGACCCTGAAATACCTATAAGCTCTCACACTCCTGGCAATAACAGGAGCATGGTACAGAGAAGTCCGGGGGCAGGAGATCAGATTTAGGAAAAGAGTGAGGGCTTGCTGACTCTCGGAAAACCGGGTGCCGCCGGTGTCTGTCTGGGCAGTTGGGAGCTGAGGGAGAAGGGAATAAAAAGCAAGAAGAGAAAACTGGAGGGGGAAAATATAAGAAATATGATCAGGCACCAAAGCAGATGAAATACTTAGAAAACAGGATTCTCTGGGCCTTTTGTCCCAGATCCAGGCCACCCCCTACCCCAGCCCCCCACCCCCGTACTCCCTCCTGTCCACGGGACGGCTGGGGTGCAGATGGTTTCGGGGCACTTGCCTGCAGGACACACGCCTACCTCTAAAGATGGGGTCAACCCCTCTTGAACCCCATGGGATGAGCATGAGAGAGGGGCGTTTCCTAAAATACATAGGAAAAGAAAGCTTTTTATCAGAAAGAGGTGCGTGGGGGTGGCCTTGATATATAGTCAACCCTGACCACACTGCCGATTCTGTCCCACCTTCAGACACGGCTGCCACATGCATGGGGCGGGGGGATGGAGGAGGGCGCACAGGGAAAAGTATCCAGAGCCTGTTTCCGCCCCTTCCAGAAGGTTCTTACCCTGACTCCCATCCTCCACCCAGAAAACGAGAAGCTTTCAGAGTAGTCAAAGGATACCTTATATACTCAGCAGAAATAGTTCCCCCCCCCATACCGCCCCCCACCATCCTCATGTTAGCCCTGCGAGGGGCTGCTAACCTGGTTGGAGGAGGATCCGAGAGAAACCCGGACCTCCCGCCAGAGTGGGGGGCTTTGTCCCACCAGGGGCCTGCCTTCCCTCTGTGACCTTGGCCAAGACGCACTTGCCTGTCTTGGACACGAGCGCCTCCACCTCCACCTCCCCACCCCTGGATTCTCCCATGTCCAGGCTCCCCGGGCCATCAGCGGGGACGGGGACGGGGAGCGGGGACAGGGAGCGGGGAGCGGGGACTCGGGGGCGTGCGGGTGTCCGGAGGGCCCGGCGAGCAGGCTGGCGTTCGTTGCAGGCCTGGCGGAAGTACGACACGGACAGAAGTGGCTACATCGAAGCCAACGAGCTCAAGGTAGGGTGGGCCTGGAGGAGGCGTGAGGGAGCGGAGGACGGGGCCGGGCCGGGCCGGGGGCGGTTCGAGGAACCCAGGGAAGGGGGGGCATCGGGTGAGGAACACGGGTTTGGTCAAGTGAGACTCGGGTCTGGCCCGGGGCAGCCGAGTGGAATCGGGAACACGGAGCTACGGGGCGCAGAGGCCGACCAAACGCCACGGCCCCGCACACGGAGCCCGGAGAGGCCCCCTGAGGCCACCCCCGCAGACGGGCCTTCCGCTGGCACGGCTCCCCCTGTTCTCCTCGGGGACCGGCGATCCAGGCACTGCGAGGCCCGGGTCCCGGGCTCTCTGAGGAGCCAGAGCCAGCTTCTGAGCCTTCTCTGCGCCCAGGAGTCACCTCCAGGCCCCCAGGCTCACCCCACAGACACGAGGGGGCTCGGGGCTTTGCGGCACGGACGACCGAGCGAGGAGGGACGGAGGGACGGACTGAGTCGGGAGCTCTGAAGGGGCCTTTTGCATCCCAGGGGTTCCTGTCCGACCTGCTGAAGAAGGCCAACCGGCCGTACGACGAGCCCAAGCTCCAGGAGTACACCCAGACCATAGTGAGTTCCCAGGGGCCAGGGCGGGGGGGCCAGGCGGGGCCGGCCGCTGAGACCGGGGCCTGCAGAGTTCTGCTGGCTGATTCTCGGGGCCCCGGGAAGGGACACCAGCGGCCGCAGGAGGAGGGCCCCACGCAGCCTCTCTCTGAGGTGCTCCCTGAGGCCGGAGCGTGTTTCCCTGGAGAGGATGAACGTGGAGGGGGAGGGCCGGCGGGGCCAGCCGGCTGTCCTCGGCAGCCTCCTTCCCGAGGAGGGGAGAGGGGACCTGACTGTCCCCCCCGGTGACCGATGGAGACCAGGCCGGCCCCTGGCCCCCGGGTGACCTCGGAGGAGGCCTGAGCCCGCTGCCCCCCCCCCCCCGCCTCCCTCTCCAGAGGGGAAAGGTCAGCGTCAGTGACCCGAGCGTCTCTCTCTGTCCCCGACAGCTGCGGATGTTTGACCTGAACGGCGACGGCAAGCTGGGCCTCTCGGAGATGTCCCGGTAGGTGCCTGCCCTCCCCGCACCCCCCCCCCCAGCGCCCTGTGCCACCGTCCCCGCCCTCAGGGCCGCCGCTGGGGCAGGGACAGGCTGGGCCTCATGGAGCTCCACACAAAGCCAGACGGAACCGCGAGGGCCCGCCTCAGTGTGTCTGTCTGTCTGTCTGCCTCTTTCCAGAACCTGCCGCTAACTCCCGGCAATTAGGAGCTCGGCGATCTCTGTACCTGCAGGCCCGGCTCCCGCACCCCGCCCGGTGCGAGCCGCTCTCGCCTCTGCGCGGCCTCTAACCTCTGCTCTCGCATTTCCTTTCCAGACTCTTGCCCGTACAGGAGAACTTCCTGCTTAAGTTTCAGGTAAAAGGGCCGCTTTGCTTTGCTTGGTCCCTCCCTTCCTCTCTGAGCTCCACCTTCCACCCTCCTGCCCCGAAATACACACACACACACTCTCTCTCACACACATACAAACACACACACACTCACATACAAACACTCACGTGTGCACACGCATGCACACGCATGCTCACATACAAACACACTCACGTGCATGCACATGCGTGCGCGCACATGCTCACAGTCACATGCATGTGTGCGTGTGTGCACACACTCACATATAAACACACATGCGTGTGCAATACTCATTCACATACAAACACACATGCATGCGCACGTACACACACACTCACATACAAACACACACACACTCACGCGGGGTCTGCTTCTCTAACACCTTGCACCTTCCAGGGCATGAAGCTGACCTCCGAGGAGTTCAATGCCATCTTCACATTTTACGACAAGGTACGAGGGGGGAAGGGGGGCGGTGTGGGGTGGAAACCAGGAGGCCTGTCCCCGTCCCTGGGGCGCCCCCTGCTGTGTGAGTGGATGACTGTCACCGCGGTCCACAGCCTGTGGAACCCGAGGCTGTGGTTCCTCAGAGGCGCAGAGAGAGTCTTTCTGACAGAGGGCTCTGTTCAGAGCTGTGGGGGACAGGGTGTTGGGGGCCAAGGGCAGGAGGTGCCAGGACCGCTCTCCTGCTGTCAGGTCACGTCGAGAATGACAGGGTGCCACCCCCCCCCTCAGCTGTCCCTGCCCAGGAGACTCCCAGGGTCTTCCCTATAACCTTATAACAGAGGGGTTGGGGTAAGACCCTGTCATTCATATATATATATATATAAATATATATATATATATGATTTTTTTTTTTACAGAGAGGAAGGGAGAGAAATAGTCAGAAACATCACTGAGAGAGAAATATGGACCAGCTGCCTCCAGCACACCTCCCACCGGGGATGTGCCCGCAACCAAGGCACATGCCCTTGGCTGGAATCAAACCTGGGACCCTTTAGTCCGCAGGCCGACGCTCTATCCACTGAGCCACACCGGTCAGGGCCCTCCTGGCATCTTATTACGGAGGTGACACTCAGCTAGCTAACCGCTCCCTGAGCCTTGCTTCCATTCCAGTGCCAAGGAGAAACACCCCAATGAAGAGCTGCCCAAGTGTGCCGAGGCGCCTGGGGCGGGGGGGGGGGGGGTTCAGACAGAACGGGGGGTGCGGGGGGTGCGGGGGGTACGGGGGGGATCCGGGGCCAGGTCTGCGGCCACGGGGCTGACCGCTGGCCCCGCACTCACCCCCTGCGCCCGCCCCAGGACGGCAGCGGCTACATCGACGAGAACGAGCTGGACGCCCTGCTGAAGGACCTGTACGAGAAGAACAAGAAGGTGAGCGGCCGCTCAGGCAGTGTGGCCCGGGCCCCCTCCTCGCCGGCGGGACACGGGGGGGGGGGGGGGGGCAGGGGGGGACCCCCGCACCGATGGGGCTGCCACCACCGCAGCCGCTCTTTGGGGACCCGTGCCCCGCGTCAGGTCTGGAGCTGAACGGGGTTCACATCCACTCCCACATCTAGTCCCCCCCACGGCTCGGACGGCGAGTGCCGTCACTGTGCCCGCGACACAGGCGGGGGCAGCCAAGGCCCGGGTGGAATCCTTTCCCCAGAGCAATGCCCCGGGAAGCGGAAAGGGCTCCAGCCCAGGCCTTCCTGCCTCCGAGGCGCGTGCTGTGTGCCTCCCGGCCGGCAGGGCCTGCCCGGGTGCTGCCAACGTGGGGACGGGCTGCCTGTGCGGTGCCACCACCGCGAGCGCGGGGCCCCCACCCACCCAGCCAGCCCCACCCGCCCGCCCCCTGTCTCCCAGGAGATGAACATCCAGGAGCTCACCAACTACAGGAAGAGCGTCATGTCCTTGGCCGAGGCCGGCAGGCTCTACCGCAAGGACCTGGAGATCGTCCTCTGCAGCGAGACGCCCCTGTAGACGGGGACGGAGGCGGCCTCTCCTCCTCCCCGAACCCGAACCGCTGCCCCCACCCTCCTCCCAGACCCGGAGATCCCGGGCGCCCTCCCCACGCCCTGCCACCTGCAGAGGAAAGGAGACGAGGGCAGACGGGCAGCCGACAGGCCTCCGGAGCCCCGGGCCTGACGGGGCACTCGGCTCTGCCCGCAGTGGGGGGGGCCTAGCCACGTGGGAGGTGGGCAGGGCGCGTGGGGGGCTCCCCGACTCTCTTCGCTGTGATGCATGAGCTCGTTTGCTGTGTAACCTAGGCTTCCGTGTCCCGCTGGGTGGACCCTCCCTCCCGCTCCCGCTCCCCGGCGCCTGGCCCCCGGCCACGCCCGGCCCACGCAGCGCCCCACTCCGTCCGCCACGTGCTGATGGCGTGGCCGTCTCTCCGAGTTCCTGTCCGTGGAGGCGCCGCCCGGTCCTTGTCTTCTCCACTCAGCATGCTCCCCCTCTCTCTGGGCTTCTTGTCGTCTCGTTTACCAAAGAGGAGTTTACAGACAATAAATAAAGTGGAGACATCTGCTGGTCTAGCACTCAGCATATCTCCCTCCCTCCCTCTCTCTGTCTCTCTCTCTCTGTCTCTCTCTGTGTGTGTGTCTCTCTCTCTGTGTGTGTGTCTCTCTCTCTGTCTCTCTCTGTGTCTCTCTCTGTGTGTCTCTGTGTGTGTGTGTGTGTCTCTCTCTCTGTCTCTCTCTCTCTCTGTGTCTCTCTCTGTGTCTCTCTCGCTCTCTGTGTCTCTCTCTCTCTCTCTGTCTCTCTCTCTCTTTCTGTCTCTCTGTCTCTCTCTTTCTGTCTCTCTGTCTCTCTCTGTGTGTCTCTCTCTCTTTCTGTCTCTCTCTGTGTCTCTTTCTCTCTCTCTCCCCTCCCTCTCTTTCTCTCTGTTTCTCTCTCTCTCTCTCTCTCTCTCTCTCTGTCTCTCTCTCTCTCTCTCTCTCTCTCTCATATAGCCTAGCTCCCTGACAAGGGCGGGAGCCTGCACTCTGCACTCACATGGGTGGGGAGGGGCGTCAGGACCCCCAACTGGGGCGCCACCACTAGAAACGGGCCTAGGACCCCAGAGCTCTGCCTGCCTCTCCATCCCCGGCCACTTCCTTGCTCCTCCTTCGTCCCTCCATCTCGGGGACCGTGCTCAACAGTGTATCTGAGGGGGTTCTCTGAGCCCGCTGGAGAGGTGCCGGGACTGTCTCCTCCGTACAGACAGGGAAACTGCAGATAATAACGAGCCCCAAGGGCCAGCTGGGGCCAGAGCCAGGGCACGCCGCCGGCCGATCAGAGCCGGAGCCACGTTCTTACCGCAGGGGCTGTGGCACAGGGGGGCGGAGTGACCCCCACCCATCAGCCGGGAGTGCGGGACCTCCACAGACCCAGCGTCTCCTCCTCGGGGTGCGCACCACCCCACAGTCACCCATCACACGCCCCTGGGATGGGGTGAGCTCTCTGAGATGCTGGCACAGAGAACTGATGGTTTTTAAAGCTCTCGTTTATTGCCTGCCTGCAAGGCGCACTTGACATTTCTCATCTAATCCCATGGCAATCCCATGAGGTGGGTACTATTTTCAGATGAATAGATTAAAAGTTCAAAGGCGTTAGGTAACTTGTTCAAGGGGATACAACTCCCAGGTCAGAGCTAGGACTCAACTACAGGCCGGTCTGATCCCGAGGCCCCCTGGGCGCTGTCCTCTGACAGCCAGGAGCCCGTCGGGGCAATGGGCCACCGCGGGGCGGGTATGGCTGGGTCGGATCTAAGCCCCGCTGCTTTCCGGGAGGAGCCATCCTGTTCACAGCCCTGATGGCGTGGGCCAGTGGGGCCACCGTCTGACCTCCGTCCACCTGCCCGCAGCCGCCCCGGCCGAACGTGGACTTCTGGCCAGTGAGAGCCCCAGCATCTCGGGCTGAGACCCAGGGCTCTCGGGTGGGACATGTGGTACTGAAGCCGGTTGGCGACACAGCTCCAAGGGTCAGAGGTGGCGCCATGGCAACCCAAAACAAAGCCCGGGCCGACGCTGGGAAGAGCAGAAACAACGAACATCGGCACAAACAGGGGCACCGAAGCCAGAGGGAGCCAGCTCAGAGGGAGTCGGTAGAGAGAGGGAGACCAAGGCCCAGCAGGCATGGCCCAGAGGAACCAGGAACCAGGTTCAGCCTAGGAACCAGGAGCTCACAGGGTTCGATTCCCAGTCAGGGCGCATGCCCAGGGCTGTGGGCTGGTCCCCAGTGAGGTGCGTGCAGGAGGCAACTGATCCATGATTCTCTGCCATCACTGATGTTTCTCTCTCTCTCTCTCTCTCTCTCTCTCTCTCTCTCTCTCTCTCTCTCTCTCTCTCTTCCTCTCTCTCTGAAATCAATAAAAATGCAGTAGGAAGGAAGGAGGGAGGGAGTGAAGAAAGGAGGGAAGGGAGGGAAGGGAGGGAGTGAAGAAAGGAGGGAAGGGAGGGAGGGAAGGGAGGGAGGGAAGGGAGGGAGGGAGGGAGGGAGGGAGGGAGGGAGGGAGGAAGGAAGGAAGGAAGGAAGGAAGGAAGGAAGGAAGGAAGGAAGGAGAAAGAAAGAGGAAACTCAAGGACCAGACAGGATGGGCTAGTGAAGGGTCCACAGAGGATTGGGATTTCACTCTTTTCCCAGCTGCTCTGTGACATCTCCCTTCTCCTCCTTTCTGTCTTGGCTACACTGGCGCCTTCTTAGCGAGCTCAGCCCTGTTCCCCTTTGCCCCTACCCCGGACGCCATGGCCCCTCCAGGCAACTCTTTCTCCATAGCTCTATGACCCCGGGCCCGATGTGTGTTCCGGCCCCCTGGCCCCCAGCACCCCACCCCACGCCACGCCACGCCACGCCCACCTAGAACGACATCCTCAAGGCAGGTGTGCTCACACCCTATCGCTCTGCCAGCACCTGCTCAACCCACGCTCAGATCAGATTCTCATCATTGATGTGTCCAACTCTCCCCCTCTACCTTTCTCTCTGAAATCAAACCTCTTCCTCACCTTGGGCCCCTCAACTCCCCAGAGTAATGGCCCCGGAACATGCCTGAGCCCTAATCCCCGGGCGCAGTGAACACACCGTTACCGGGCGAAGCAGAATTAGGCTCTATTTCAATCCGCTGCCTCAGGGAGCTCATCCTGGGCTATCCCGGGGGGTCTGAGCACCTGAGGGTCCCTGGGTGTGAGAGACAAAGGCCAGTCAGAGTGGCGCCGAGAGAGAGACTCAGCCAAGCCTTCCAGATGCGAGTGGGACGCCCCTGGAAACCAGGTGAGGCGGGGCGACAGGTCCCCCGGAGAGCCTGCGATTCCTTCACTGGAGCCCATTGTGGACCTGGGACGTCCAGAGCTGCAGGGTAATGCATTCATGTTGCTTTAAGCCACCAAGTCTGTGGTCATTGGTGGCCACAGGAAGTAAATACACAGGCAAAAGACACGGTCCCGCCCCCCACCTTCCCGTCACAGTATGAAGTGTGGGGCAGGACGAGTCCCCCTCAGTGTCTCTGTGAGGACTGAGGCGATCCGAGGTGGGCACACACACGCACAGTGTGGCACACACGGTGCCCGGCACACAGTGTGGCCACGTGGCAGCCGTGGGGACGTTTCCTGGGGCCGCCCAGGGCTCACAAGGACGCGGTTGGTTCCAAATCTGTGAAATCCTACGCCCCTGCCCCCCTCAGGGAAGACGCCACCTGGACCACCGCCTCCTGCTTTGGGCACGTGAGCCCCCCAAACGTGGCTGCTGACACCCCAGGGAACCATTCTATCTGCCCCGGCCCAGGGGCTCACCTGCACACACGGACCCTATGGCAGGGGCTGGGCAGCCGATGGAGAGATCGAGGTGCTGAAGAGGCTGCCCGGAAGCCTGGTTCAGGGGGCTTGTCCTTCCTTACACCCGTCCTTGGCTTCATTCAGACACCACAGTCTGCTGGGGAAGCTTGGCCAGACACACCCCCTCTTTGGGTCTCAAGTTTCCCATCTGTGGAATGGGAAGCTTGGAAGGAATGGTGTGCAAGCACCTCAACATCTTACCTCCTGACGTTTCACTGAAGAGCGTGTTATCAATAGCAGACACGTGTGTACAAGGCGACTGACATCATTAGCCTTTAGGGAAATGCAAAACCACAACCAGCCCAGCTGAACATCAACCTATGAACCAGGAGGTGACGGTTCGATTCCCAGTCAGAACACACGCTCAGGATCCCCCTTATGGGGTGTGCAGGAGGCAGCTGGTCAATGATTCCCTCTCATCATTGATGTTTTAAACTCTCTCTCCCTCAATCTTCCTCTCTAAAATCAATACAAATATGTTTTAAACACACACACCCACAATGAGATGGCACTGCACACCAATAAAAAAACAAATTTTGAAAAGTTTTATTTCCATTTACAAGAGCAGAGTCTACGAAAGTGGTGTGGGTTTCAGGGAGCTGAGAAAGAGACAAGGCTTCCTCACAGAGCCAGAAGACCCAGCGTTACATCAACAGGACAGGGTTTAAAGAACCACAGGGAACCCCACACCCCACACTCCTCCTGCACGCCCACACAACCCCCCCGCCTCCTGCCTGGGTTAGCAAATCGCCAGGGACTCTCGCCAAGCCAGCTGCTCTGGACCCAGGCGGCCCCAGAAGCCCTGGCTCGGTGGCCGGGAAGTCAGAGCCGCTTCAGTCATGGCAGCTCAGAGGCCTGCACCCGAGTCCGTCCTTTCCAGTCCGGACGGTGTGAAGTACCGGGTGCATCACTTCCTCTGACCCCGAAGACGGTCCTTTTCTCGCCGAAAACTCCAGCTGCAGCCTGCATCTCAGAGATGAGCCTCCAGGCAAACAGCACAGAGACTAACAGGTGGCAGAGACCCCGTGGCCGGGGTTAAGCTGTCGCTCTAACCAGTAACGTCAGCGCAGAGGACGGAGGCGTCTCTATCAGGACACAGGACAGAACTGCTCCATAAGACCTTAGTGGGTGTTCCCCCTGAGGGTAAGAACACATGGGGGGGGGGGGGGATAC